TACCAGGGGATGAAATATAAATGCAGAGTCTGGAGTGTGCGCACCCATTGACCCCTGAATGCTTGGGTGGTGGGGGTTGGTAAATAAAGACGGAGAGCTGAACACCTCAAGAGCCAAGTTGGGTGTTGGTAAATAAAGCCAGAGAGCTGAGCACCCCAGGAGCCAAGGGGGGTGTTGGTAAATAAAGCCAGCTGAACACCCCAGAAGCCCCGAGTAATCTGATCATGGGGGAACTTAAATCCTCTGTCATCCTAGAAGTTTTAGTGATCCCTGTTGCGGTTTCTCTGCTTGCACCTTTGTGGCTCCCCGGGCGCTCATGGCTATGCGGTGTGGACCTGGGCTCTGATTGGGGTGCCAGAACGCACCCCTCTCAGTGGGTAGGTCATGCCCGCGGCCGGGTCACTTTCAGCTCCCTCTTTACACTCTGGCTCCGCAGTTATAGTCGCAGGTTTTCACGGCAGCAAGTGAAGGAGCAAGAGACAGGTCTTATGCTGCAACCCGCCGTCTTCCCTGTGGAGGGCTAGGCCATCTGTACTGCCGTCCACTCTCTGCCAGATAAGTGCTGAGGTCATTTCTCCGGAAATGTCCTCCCTGTGAAGTAAGCTCGCTGTCATTTTGTATCCTGCTCACCAGGCTTTCTGGAGCAATGGGGTGGGATGTAGAGGCCTCTTGGCACCCACCTGACCCTGGGCGGGGGGTGGGTAAGTCCACGGCTGGGAATCTGTCTCCAGGAGCTTCCGGATGAAGGGCTTGTCTGCGATGTGATTGGTTTCTCTGGTGCTATATTTTTGACTGGACACTCCCCCTGCAGTACTTCAAATGCTGTGACTGCATTGGCTGATGCCACCTAATAGCGACACATGGTGGCCGGCACCAGTTGTATTCGAGCAGGTGGTAACTGACTGAGAGCTGGTGATGGGAGGGGCCTGACTGTGAGGGAAGTATTGATTGGCCATGCAGTTGGGGGTGGGCTGTAACTGCTGAGCTCGCGACAGACGGTCGATACATGGCATGTGACTTAGCCCTGTCTTTGCTCCTTAGCGGTTAGTCATGCATTACCAGGGGAAAACGGCCGATGATGATTATGGTTTAGTTCCTAAAGGAATAGTGTCAGTGGTACCAAGGTCTTCATTTTTCTGCTCTCCTCTGATACTGACTCAGCGGCTGCCCGGTCCCTCTGTGCGCACCGTGACACTATTTCCACACTAGCTGGCCTTCTTAGTATTAGCGCTCTGTGTGTAATGAATTTATTTTCTGCCTGTGTTTGAAGCCGCCTAGCATATTATTCCCATAACCGGTAAGCCCCTCCCACAGGGAAGAGTCAATCGAGCAGCCACGAAACTTGACTGCCCAACCAAGTACCTCCCCCTGCCTCACGCTTCTCTGGGACTGGCTCAGAGGACCACAGGGTGATCAGATGGAAGGCTTCATGGGCCAGTGACCTGTCAGGAATCTGTCTCCCGCTGCCCCTCTGCTGTAACATCTCTGTAAATCACTGTTTGTCTTTAGCCAGTTTTCCTCACCACTGGAGCAAAATAAACACCTTTGTCCTCAGTATCAAGACAGAGCAGACAGAAAATGTTTCTCACAGACTTATACTTCCTGCAGGAAAGTGACCACAGGTTTCATTCTAAAGACAACTGTCTGTTACATATATGGGTAAATATAAGGCACTTTGGAGAGAAAAGCTTTGCTTTACAATTGATGTACATGAAGACCTTCATCGTGTCTGAGCTAAGAGTTGCTCTTCTGCCCACAGAGGGTGCTGCAGAGGCAGGCTTGCAGGGACAGAGAGAACAGCCATGCTGGCTCAGGCACAATTTATTCCTGTTAAATTTGAGTTGTTGTTCTCTCATGGTCCTTGTGACCCAGAAAGCTCACAAGCATTTCTCCACCTCCTCCATCCAAGCCATCTTTGACTGGACGGCAAATTTCAGAGTTCTTGCTTCAGATAGGTGAACCCCAGCGGGATGGTGTCTGGGCTTGTGTCCCTATGCTGAGTAGTGTCTGCTCACAGAGATTCTAAATAAGACAGGAGCTCTTCTCCGCGGAGGGCCAGCTGAGCTGTCCTTTCTGAACTGGAAGAGTATAACTATAATCATGGCGGGGGAGCTTACTGGGCCTGTGACCTCTGGGTTGCTTAAATGAGAAATTACTAAGTAGAAAATGAAAGGTCGACCTGCAGGCCAGATTTAATAATGAATGAGAAACGCGTAACGCGCGGTATTGAATCATCGCGGGGGCCAGATCTGACCCACTGGCTGGAAATTTGCGACCTCTGGTGCAGGAGGAGGGTGGGGGTGAGGTCTGGATGGAGTCATGGGGGGGCTGCTGAGTCTCCTGGAAGCCCCGCCCTCCCTCTTGATGGTATTGGAGGGGAGGGAGGGGGGCCGCTGTGTGTCCTGGAAGCCCCTCCTCCGTGGCTGCCTCACTCTGGGTACAGCTGCAGCAGCTCCTGACAAGCAGATATCAGCGATTGATTTAGTCCCGCTTTCCTACTGGGAATCTGCTCCCATGTCTCCTTCCTCCTTCAGGTTGGTGTGGGATGGGGGGGTCACATTTGCAGGCCTCATTAGACCCAGTGAGTATCTCTCACTCCTCCCATCTCATCGATTCATATGGTAAAATGACCTTGCCAGTCAGGCCCTATTGGAACAGCAAGTTCTGTTCTCTCCACCGTGCCTTGTGTTATATTGACACTGTAACTGTAAAGGCTGCCACTCTGGGTGTCCCTGGGTAAAATGAGATCAGCGTGCTGCTAGAACCTTACCACTGTTATGCAGACAGACGGACATACATGGGGGGGTGAAACATGGTGCCCTGTCCAGCTACTTGTCCTGGTCTGACCCGCCCCTAGGGACTTTATATAAGTGAGCTATATGACCTATCTACAGCCCTTACGTGTCTCGGCTATATGATCTATACCTATCTTTAGGTTTATAGGACGGTGTTTCATGTACATCCCTTATGTAACTCGGCTATATGACCTATACCTATCTTTAGNCTATACCTATCTTTAGGTTTATAGGACGGTGTTTCATGTACATCCCTTATGTAACTCGGCTATATGACCTATACCTATCTTTAGGTTTATAGGACGGTGTTTCATGTACATCCCTTATGTAACTCGGCTATATGACCTATACCTATCTTTAGNCCTTATGTAACTCGGCTATATGACCTATACCTATCTTTAGTATTGTAGGACAGTAATTCATGTACAGTCCTTATGTAACTCGGCTATATGACCTATACCTACCTTTAGGTTTATAGGACGGTATTTCATGTACATCCCTTATGTAACTCGGCTATATGACCTATACCTACCTTTAGGTTTATAGGATGGTATTTCATGTACATCCCTTATTTAACTCAGCTATATGACCTATACCTACCTTTAGTATTATAGGACAGTAATTCATGTACAGTCCTTATGTGTCTCGGCTATATGATCTATACCTGTATTTTGTTGTTCTGTTTAAGTTTCAGCTGCTCCCGCCCAGTTTGCTCCTCCTTTTTTGTATCTATGTAATGTTTTTGTCCTTCAGCCAGTAGATGATGTCTTTCCTTTCCCATCATCACTCTTTCCGTAAATGTGTAATCTTAAATCTTCCCCAAACTGACTATTTAATCTGTCTCTCGTTTTTGTTTGGGCTGCTCTCCTTATATAGCCTCTTACTCCTTGAAACTTTGGTTTCTGTGCCCAGAATATTCCCCTTGCCAGCATCTCAGACCAGAGTCTGCGCCCATCTCTGTCTACCCTGGGGGGGTCGCGTGGTGGCTCTATGTATGAGGCTGCGTGTCACCCTGGGCCCCGCCTCGCTACCGACCACACGGCCATACCCCAGGTCCCTTCGCTTCCCTTAAAATGTCGAGTAGGCAAATGCTCATCTGATCCCTTAAATAATTTTGCGAGCTCTTCCTGGAATAAAGGCTTCTGGAAATCCAGCTCAGAAGCAGAGAGCCACCTCCCTCACCACACCACGGGATGGCAGTGCCCAGCTGGCCGCCTCCCTCACCACACCACAGGCTGGCAGTGCCCAGCTGGCCGCCTCCCTCACCACACCACGGGCTGGCAGTGCCCAGCTGGCCGCCTCCCTCACCACACCACGGGCTGGCAGTGCCCAGCTGGCCGATGTTCTCCTCA